TCCCTACCTCCCTTCTTCGAGGTCAGTAAGCCATACCTCTTTTATTATTCTAGTGCACTTTGAACTTGTACCCCGCAAAAGTAGGCTGGGAGGAGGAATGAATTACATCTAGATAGTTTAATGTATACTTGATGCTTGGATCTGTTACTGATTTACGCTGCAGCATTGCTCTAGCCACAATGACCTAAGAATATGCACAAGGCAAGGTTGACAGAGAACGATACTAACATAGTTTGGAAAGACAGATGAGGTTTTGGGCCCAGAGAGGTTTAGAGTATGGCAAGCTGTAAGGTCCTTTTATTAGACCAACAGAGCTGGAAACATGCTGCCTCTCTCTACAAACCTCAGGTCATTTAGAAAGTCACTATTACAGAATTAAAAAATAGGCACAACTAGCCAAATAGTTATATGTTAGGACAAAAAGGTTGTATACTAGACCATCGATTCTTTCCCCCACCCCCGTTGTTGGGGGTGGAATTTCGTGAGGTTTTGTTGTTTTAATTTCGTTCTGGTTTTTTTTCGGCCTGGGTCTGAAACGACTAAAGGCATGGCAGTCTTTGGAATTAAAGGCAACACAGGTTTCTTTCCTGTCTAGGTGACAACAGGTATCCATGTTTCATGGTTTTGCAAAAGATTGGCACGTCCTAACCACATTACAGCAAACAAGCTCTAGCCATATTCAGACAACAGGTTGCTTAGCACTAGAGAGGTGGTCACAGACTCTCCACTCTCCAGCAGAACTGCAGTAATAACTGAAATTGCTAAGGGCACTCACATGTTCAACAGGACTGTTCAACGGACAAAGTCCATTTTCACAAGACAGCAAATGCCAAAAATGGCATCATATAACTATTGTTAATATTTAATTGTCCAAGTGTTTTAACTGCCCAACTTAGCCTAACACAGCTCCCAAAGAACTGAGAATTGCAGGAGTATTCTATTATGATCAAAACTCATAAACTCTGTGCCTTGACTCAACTTGTCACAGCTGAGTTGCCTCTCAGTCCCTCTCCCTCTTTCAGTGCACTACTTACTCCTGCTACCTCAGTATTCATCTCAATCCTTTGGAGACCATTTCTGCAATGAGTGACTCACTTTCAATAAAACTAAAACAGAGCTTCATCTGGGTTAATTATTAAATGAAAAACTCTGTAGCAGATTCCTGTAAGTTCTACACTAGCTAATTCGGAGCAAATTTCATCATCTCTTACGCCCTCCACTGGCTTCTCTCTTCACATTCAGGGTTTTAATGTGCCTGCTACACTTTCATTTCACATCTTGGTTCGCGTTCACATTCTTTCATCTGTCCAACCCACCTAGAACACTTTGCCAAATCACTTTTCTTTCCACTACTTCATGGCTCCCTCCTCAAATCAAGCAATGGGGCATTTCCACTTGCAATTTCCACTTCTCACACACCCTTCAGCTTGATTCTGGTGCTCTTTGATCTTGCTTCCAAAACATATTGAAAGAGCACAAAACCTAAAGTATTTAGTGAATAACATACCTCCTTCATCTTCTGGAACGCCTCCCTTTCTCACTAGGTCTAAATTACACTGGAAGTTCATAACAGCAACAATTTTGGTTTTGTGACCCTCTGTAAATAAAAACTTAGGCTTGTGCAACCAAACAGACAGAAAAAGCATGAATGTGATCAGATATGCCGGCACAGGTGGTGCTCCTGGCAAATGTTTAACTTGTAGATATCAACTGTAGTAAAGCCAGTCAACTAAGGCAAAGTCATTGTTCTTACAGAGTAAACAGAATTAGTGTGAAAAGAGATGTGGAAATCACATCACATCACACTTGATTTCATAATACAGATAATTTTTCACCCTCAAACATGCTTATAAGCTTCCAAAACCAAGAGTGCCCGTTACCTAGCCATAGTACTGCAGTGATACTTCAAGTCAATGCAGTTCTCTGCAGCTTCAAAGTGCTAGAAATAACGATACTCTCACTTCACATCTCACACAACGTGAAATGGTTCTTAAAAGGTTTTCGACCCCACTATGAAGTCAGGATGTGGAAGTCAGGAGGGGATCTTTCATCATTGCAAAAATCCACCGGAGAGAGGGGTTGTGGCATCTCAACAGAGAGCCAGAGGTCAAGCTAGGACTATATAGTAAGTATAGTGCACATCATTACCTAATACAAGCAACTCTGTGTGCAGAGCCATGGTGAAACCTAAGCATGGTATGAACTTCTTGTAAGATAATAATAATTTTAAAAGCAGAAGGTAAGCAGTTTAAAAATTTTGCCTGTTGTTTTTGGAAAGCACCACTATAGTTATGCCTGCCGGTTCAGGACAAGGCCTTCTAATTCCAGGGGAATTCTGGGTGTCTCTACTTCTAGCCATCCAATGAAGATCTGAAAAAGTCTGATCGCCCAGAGCTCCTCCTCCTGCCCCGTCTGTTAAAAACATAAATGTTTTTCCCTTTCAAGATGTTTCAGCTGGAAGACTATCAGAAACACCTACAAAAAACTCTGGATGCTTACGAAAAGCACCAAGACGAGGAAACAACTAGGTGTTACAAAACAAGGAAAACGGGATAAGCCCCAGATATGCTCCATTCACGCTTACAAAGAAGGACGCCAAGTGACAGTTTTTAGTGAATCCTCGGCTGAAGCCTTGAGGCCTACTTCGGTGGCCTCTGGCCTCCAGGAAGAGCTGCGTGAAAACGCCCGAGCTCCGGGAGCGGGGGGAGCACATGGGGAGTGAGGAGCAGCAAACCCCCTTGAAGAAGTCCCCAAGTGGCTTCGCGGTCGGGGAGCCCTGGGTGGGTGGGAGAAGGGGAAGGACCGTCCCCCCGCGGCGGAGCGGGGCTGTGTCACGCAGGAGCTTGCTACC